AAAAATTTTTTATTTTAATCTTGAAATTATATAGAATTAAAATAAAAAAATTTTTATTAAATTTGATAAAATAATTGTCAAAATATTTAAGCCTAAAGTCAAGAAAATTTTTACTTATAAAAAATTTGTCCTTTTTTTATTAACTCACCCCCATATCATACTAAGATAAATGAATAATAATCATAATTTTATTTTCTCTAACCTAATACTTCGTATTCTATAAAATAAAGTTAATATAATATAAACTTCAGTAACTGTTATGTATAGTATATAGTTTCTATTATAAAATTGATTTATATAAAAAAAACATTGCATATGCTAAAAGAAACTATATATCAATTCATTGATTCTCATATAACTTTTGATCTATTCTAAATCTATTTCATCATCTGATTCTAAATCACTAGACTCTACTATTCATTTTCATTGCTAATCTCAACAAAATCATAGTTATACAATTCTTTTTTATAACCACAAACTATTACAAAATTGACAAATTACTGACAAATCATTACTCTTGTTTTTATGCTTATTATGCTATTGGCGATTATAACCCTTGCTACTGCATTTGCTACATGTATTTGTTCCAGAACCACATATTAATTTAGGCTATTTCTCTTTATTTCTTAATAGTTGTTCCTCTAAAGATGATTGATAACGAGTTATTTTTGGTAGTAATCTCTTCTAACCTTTTTTATAGAATTAGAAACTTTAGTAGATAGGTTTTAACAATATTAAACTTGGATTTTCCTTAAGTATATTTGTCTTTTGGCCAAAGTAGGATATACTAGTAGTATTTTCAACAAGTGAATGCCTTTTTTAGTAATATATTCTTTTAAAAACCTAAGAACATTTAGGTTATCCATTTTAATAGCAATATTAATTGCTTTACATGTAGTTCTGATAGTTTCTGCATAAATCTTTTTTTTCTCTATTACTTTTTTAGCAGTATAAGTTACTGAATAAGCTGCAGTTAACTGTGAAGCTATAAATAAATTCGTAGAGTTATTAGTCCATAAAATAGTGGTTGAGATTAATGGTTCTTCTGATAGTTTAGACAAAAAAACAGTAGATAAGTTGATAAGTGGTTGTATATCAAGGTCTTTATCTTGGTATTTCTCATATAGCCAACAACTTGCTACAAAATTAATGGAAAATTTTGTAGTAAAAGAAAATGCTATAACTCTGAAAAAATGTCTACAAGGATATCTATAGTTTGTTAAAAACAAACAGCTACATATAAATGAACCATCTTTTAACAAAAATACATAAAGTCGAGAATGCTTCCAAGTCATATGTATTACTTTCTAAACATTGACTAATTGTTCTTCAACTTGCTTAAAAAGTGCAGAAGAATGTGCCAATAGATAATCAAATACACTATCAACTAATATTATATTATTGTTATCTTGTATCTATAAAAAAATTAAATAAAGGAAGAAATAAGTTTACTAATAACAAAATATTAGTATAATTAGTAATTATTTAGTTTATATAAACTCAGATACTCTGGATTAATTTTAGTTGAATGATAAAACAAGCTATAATTTATCTCATAGCGAATTTTTTCAATTAAATTAGGTGCTATAAAGGTTTTAAGAATAGAATTAACATTTTGATACATAGTATCACAAACATTTGGTGGCTTAATACTAAGATCTGATGATTTCCAACTGATAAAATCATACTAATAGTTCTGACTAGAAATTAATAAATCAAATAAATTAAACAACTCATACAACGTTATTTGATCACGATATATAATATTTTTGACTTGTGAATTAATTGACTCAACACAACTAGTAGCCTGTGCACTAGTGGTAAAGTGACAAAAGATATATGCTCTTGCTCAATATTGCTTATCAAAATATAAGATTCTATTAAGATATAGTGTAGCTTTTGGTTACCAATCTAATAAAGACTTAAAACTATTTTCAAAAGCTTGTGGGTATAACATATTATGAGTCTTGTAAAAGTCCTTAACAAAAAAATCCTAATTGGATCCTAATTTTTCTTTAAGATTTTTTGTAAATTTTGGCTAATATGCCAAATACAATAAAGATGCTAAGTTAAAGGTAAAATTGTTGAAATAGCAAAAGCCATGACAAGATCTGTATTTGTTAAGATAGTATTTGGATAGAGTCCATCTGTAGCTCCAATTAGATTAAGTAACTAGGAATATGACTCAGTTGGTTCATTGTCTAATACTGTTTATGCAATAAGATAAGATCAATAGATATTATTAATGTTAATAAAAAGTGATAGCAGCATATTATAAATATTCATTTTTGCTGTATCATTGTAAATAATAATATTACTATACCATATCCAAAAGTCAAGCTGATTAGGAAGCATCTAGAAAAGATGTATTAATGCACTAGTGTTTGGGTCAAAATGCCACTAGATGATCCATTTAGAATTTTTCTCTTTTTTTTAAATAGTTTTGACAATAATTGTGATGTATCATTATTCAATTTTTTTAAACTTTGAAATAGTGTTATACAAATTATGATGATGAATTGGAGTATTATACTTTCCAGAAAGAAGCCAATATTGTATACTTGCATTAAACTTTCTAACTATTGTATAGTATTTAATATCTTCTAATATCTCATTAGTAAGTTTGTAGTTTTTTAGAATAAATTTTATAGTGCTTGGATCCAGAGTATGACTAGTATAAATACTTATATAGGTGGATATATGATATCTACTTAAATATTTGCTCCAGTATATGTTAACTTTTTATTTACAGTTAGTTCTATATGATCCAGACTTCTCTATTTTATGTGATTCTATTTTATTTGATAGCTTTTTAGTATAAAAATGTTCTTGAAATTTTATGTCTATTACTTGCATCTTTCTCAACATATTCTTTTCTAATTCCAAACCCATTTGATTAAGTAACTACTGCATATGCTTCTTTAATAGTCTTAAAAATTTGTCCTGAAAATATAAAAATTTCAAAGTCTATCTTTATTTGATGCTTATAAACTAAATTATAATTGCTTATATACCTTTATAAAGTTCCTGTTTATCAAATCTATTATCTAATTGTTCATCAAACTTATCATTTAAATATTCATCAGGCTCATTATCTAAATGTTTGTCAGACTTATTACCTAATTGTTCATTATTTAAAAGTTTGTTAGACTCATTATCTAAAAGTTCGTCAGACTCATTATTCAAATATTTGTCAGGCTTATTAATTAAACATTCATCCAATTTATTATTAACACAATTAAAACATGTAGATTGCTAAAATGAATATAGTTGAAAAGTAGAGTCTTTAATTTGGAACATTGGTAAGTAGCTACAAATGGGATTAATTAAAAGTATTGCAAATTAACAATAACAAAAATGAATGATAGTTTTAAACATAATAGAGAGCTTTATTTTCTTTCTATTGAAAAATTATATTCAGACATAAATACCAACAAACTAATATATAATGTTTGTTGTTATATAATACTTGCTATTTCAATAAAGTATATATTTAACACTTGTTTAAATTTTAAAATAATGTGTTTGATAAGTTCTATTTTATTACTGGTTTAGATTTGTACAAAAAAAAACTAAAATATTAGTTTACACTTTCATGAATAATTAATTACTATACCAAGAGAAAAAAAGTAATTATGCTTCTATATTGATTATTAAATATTTCAGATACAATTACATTATTAAGTAAGCAATACAACTGGAATTATTTAAACTATACTTCGCATCAATTAAATTTTTATTAACAATTTGGGTCCTGCATGCATATCATCATCATTATAATAGCAAGTAAAATATATAGTGCTGTGTTACATGAGAGTTTATCAAATTTACAAAGATTACACAAAATATATATGTCAATCAGACCCGCATACAGTGCGAGTTGCACCAAATATAAATATTTATTTAATTATTTATTCTCTTTTCTATATATAATTATTATTATTATTTTTTTTTTTGCTTTTTAACAATTTTGCCAGAGCTCAGATAAAATACTTTATTTAAACAAACTTGAGTAAAATGAATAATACAAGTATAACAAATTCAAGCCTGATATCATCTAACCATGTTTAGCATATCTATATTATTTTTTAACTTTGGCATATCTTGCCAGATATTTATTTTAGTAATTAATTTATGTATACAAATGATGCTAGCTAACTAACATAGATGGTAAGTGATAAACTCTAAGCCTGTCAGCAAATAGCATATGAGAACTATTTCTAAACGACAGGTGCTGGTACCATAAAACTAATAATTACTAAAACACCTGACCCCACCCGGTTGCTTTACTAAGCCCTAGATATGATAGCCGCATCACTTTTATCATAAAACTACACCGAACCTCAACATTGAAGCCGGTAACTAACTTTTTGCTAGGGTACATGTCTCACCCATGTATTCACCCAGGCTTCGGTAACCTACCGCTACAGTTTAACCTATGCACTCGGGGTCAGAGCTAACCATTGAACTCCTATCTAACAAGTACCAATTATGCTGCTATAATCAAGTTCGTATCTCAAGCTACCCCTAAGGTCCAAGAGTACTGCCGCAACCCAATCCGACAAGCCACAACCTTCTTAATTAGACCTGTTACCTACTTCTGCCCTTGTATAGGTTCACAACAACCCTGGTACCCACATTTAGACCATTTTCTTACCTGGATTCTTTATCGGTTCCTCCTTTACTTCTAGCTGGCAACTTAGAAAAGTTGGTCTGCTCAGGCTTTAGGTGCCTGAAGGACACCCTCCCTTTGGTACATACTTTCGAAGCATATGTCCTTTTCCTCCGGTGCGACAACCTGGCAGTTTGGCTAGTGTGTCCTTCGCCATTAGGACCTGGTCACTCGGTTCTCTGATCTCGGGCCCAGTTCAAATTTAGCCCTCTTGTAATACCATCGTAGATCACTGCTACTCCTAACTCGGGACTTCCCAAATGGGTTTTCGGTTATGCCAGTTTCTCGGATTTATTGTGCCATTGCTCCCATTACTAGATGGTGTGACCGAAGTTACAGATTAGATCCAACCAATAAGCATAGCCATTAACCGAACACAAGCCTAATTTTCGAAAATCGTCATCCGTGGAATTCAAACTCTAGACCTGCCACTTGGAGAGGGTGACGACTAGACCACTACACTAAGTCGCTACACCTCCTCATACCCATATTATTATTATTATTATTATTATTATTATTATAATAGGAATTTTGCTATTTATCACCACTGGTAATCATTACTGGTGTTGCTATATCTCAAAAACATACTAAGCAAATAGGATTGGGTTTTCTAAGCAAAAATATCCAGGACCCCCAAAAACCTTATAAAAACTAAGATCAGATCCTATCAGGCTCTTATAGTAGTTATATATATTATATAAAAAAAACAATAATTCTCTAATTTCTAACTCTAACCCTAACTAATTTTAAAACAAGTGATTATCACCAGTAGTGATATGTAGTAATTTTCTAATAATAATAATAATTATTATTATTATTACTGAAGTTAGGGTCTTGTAGCCTAGTAGTCTGAGTACCTAACTCTCTACAGACAAGGTCAACGGTTTGATTATAGCTAGTAGTAATTAATTTAATTAATTATCTCTGTAACTTTTGAAAGTTTTTGAATGCGAAACTTTGTAGCAGTAAGACCATGTAATGTACATATTTGGCCAATAAAGAATTCTTAAAAGGGCCCTGAGCTATGGAGAAAACTAAGCACTACATGTAATATAGGTTATAGAAAGTAATACTGCAGAAGGCTATACGTGTGAATCTACAATTAGCAAGGTAGTACCAACAACTCTAAGGTGGCATTAGAATCTTGACTGAAAGAATGGCTAAATGTGATATATCTAGCAGTGGTGAGAGAAGCAGTAAACATAGTAAGAGGCTGTAATAAGAGAATGACTTTACTAAATATAGAACACTTCTGGCACAAGGAAACAAGGAAAACTGGCTAAAAGAAATTTCAAAAAGTATAGAAGCAAGTGATTTGGTAATATGAAAATAAAGACAGGCTAGGAAGTAATAGTCGTACAATCTATGTAGGAGTTTATGATGAAACACAGCAGAGGCACAAGTTCCAGGTTACTGGATTGTAATAGTAATTAAATGAGGTACTTAATTTCTGTCTAAAGGATTCAGACTCTTGTATTACTATATTAATAGAAAGTATTATAGAAAGATCGATAGCCTAATTTGGTGTGTATGACGTTACCACTTGAAGATTATAAAATAATATCCTAGTTGTGGCAGCAGGTCCTGTATCTGGCTCAAAATATGAACTAGACACTTAGAGTAATATTTCAAGACCACTAAACTGGAAGTATCAAGAGTGCCTACTCAAGAGACCCCAATTTGAAAGTGGTACAAGAAGTGAATTAGAAGTAATGTAATAAGTAATGAGAGGTAGAAGTTGGCTAGTAGATGTTATACAGTAATATATAAGTGGATAAAAATAGATTTAGGAACCATCTGGTAATTTAGTAACTAGTCTAGTTGTAGGGTGGTTATTAAGAAGGTAAAAACTCATATAGCAGATTATATAGGTATTAAGTTAGTAACCGAGTAAGTCTTAACTATAATTAATTAGATAGTTGTAAATATATATATGTTTGTAACTACAATACCTTAGAGTACTAATAAACAGTAAAGGCAAGACTGCTGAATTTAAAAAAAAAATAAAAAATAATAATTATTATTATTATTTTAATAATAATAATAATAATAATAATAATAATTATTATTATTATTATTATTATTATTTTTTAATTCTTTGATAGTCTTGCCAGTACTTAATTTATTTAAGACTATATTTAGGTAAGAGTTAAACTCTCTCAAACAATACATATTATTCATAACCATAAAAGGCGTCTAGCAATTGTGAGCCTAACATTACCCAGCTGTGATTAACGTGCCCAAATACAACTTGTCGCACCAACCTGTATACAAGTTAGATAAACTTTGTCAGCCCATCAAAGCTTTTCCCTTCATATTCTTTTTCTTTACCGAGAGCAAAAGAAAGTGATGATCTTATATTGAATACAAAACCATTGATAATATCAAGAAAAAAATCGAAAAACTAACCAAAAAAAACAAATAGAATGAAGGGAGAATTTTAAAGGAAAATAAAAGGGGTACAATGAAATGTAAAAAAAGAAAATCAAAGAAAAAGGCCCAAGGGCCAACAAAGAAGAAAATATCTCTATCAAGAAATAGTACAAATAAAATGAAAGAAAAAGGAAAATACACTATTATAACCTCATAGGAAGACATTCATATGATTGGTTAATTTTGTTGATCTACCTGTGATTGCCCGTGATAATTAACCAATCAAATTACATAATTTTTTTAAAACGTTTATTATTTTAATACTAGAAAACGAAGAAAACTTCGCTTAAAGAAGTTTACAAACCAATAAATTACATGTGAAGAACTTATTGCATAAAGTTAGAAAACAGATAGATACACGTAAAGTTGAATGAATGAATATAATATTTATTATTAAATACCCAACTCATAAAAGAGTTAATACATGAATAAATTATTAATGAAACTATCTTTATTATCTTTTGAAAAAATCAAAGTAATTC